TAGTCTTCCATTATTGAAATCTAGTTGGAAGTGTCATACAGTACATGCTATATGTTTATGAATGTGTCTATGAAGTTCATATTAGTCATGTCAGGGGTTCCTGTTCACATCAAATGTGTTAGCCTGATGTCTTGATATGGTTAATAATAAACCATAGTCCATTCTCGATTTGAATTTGAAACACTGGTTACAGTAGGGAATGTTTAATTAAACGTTGTCTCAAATTCAATTTGGGCACAATATCAGTACAGAAAAGAAATGCATTGTTTGTAACACAGCTGACAATCACATCTCTCTTAGACTTTTTTCCAGTGGCCTTTGGTGTAAGTACCCTTTTGAAAGCCACACAATGGACCTGGATCTGTGCCAGGGAATAGTGGATTCTCTACAGCTTTAAAGGTTGTAACTTTGCAACAGTGGGCCTGTCCACCTCCCCCCTATCAACCCAACCTTCTCACTGTGGCCACTGTATCAATCAGACATTCAGACACTGCATTGATTAATGTGTTATTAATAACACAGAATATGATGAGGATGATGATGGAGATGGATGAAAGCTCGGTTACTACTTCACTCTAGTTACTGTGAGGACTTCAGTTACCACAATGTCAAAGGTCATGGACAGAATTTGAAATCTATTAGGCTTTTGTAATTGTTCTCAGGGAGCATTCTGTTCACGTTCTCCACTGCTGTCTTTCCCTGCATGCCCCTTTAGCTCCCACTGTGCTACATGATCAAAGCCTGACACACAAATGGTTTGTTTTTGTTTTTAAATGATTTTAAAGATATAGTTTACCCAAAGTCAGGTATGATTATCACCATTGTTCTCACCTGGATATAATATATTAAGATGACATTGTTTGATGCCACATGTTACATTTTAACCTGACACATTGAATTGACATCTGGGCAGGTGGGTGATCCACCTCTGATGTCTGAACTTGCCCGGGGGCTTATCGGCTGGCTGAAGCCCCTATTAGTGCCATTCTGGCGTTGTTACCATAAAGATTAACTGGTGCCTTTACAAAGATTATTAATATACGCTTGATCTCTGAGAAATGATACTCCTGACTTTAAAGATAATCTTATCTCTGCTCCAAAAAGGTCTGTAGCTTGCACAACTGAAGTGGTCAATTTCTGATCTAGATATCAATTATCTAGTAGTTTAAACTAAAGCTACAAAAGCACAGATAGTAGTTTTTCATGTATTGGTTGGTTTATGAAAATCAAATGCACAGATTTGTATTCTACTTTTGTTTGTGGTTCTTCTATGCTGCTGCACCACTATCTTCTCAGTTCATGTAATTCATGTTTTGCAGAAAACTAATGTATGTTTTTATCAGATGGAATTGTGGAGTCATTAAACAGTGATGGTTGAAATGCCAAAAATGTATCTTCTTCCTGTACTATTCAGTCAAGTAAACCAATTGATGACTCAACAAAAAACACTGTCTTGCACTTAACCGCCTTGATGTATAGTTTTTCAAAGAACACTGCCCCTTCCCCTCGCGAACCCCATTCCCTCCATCCACAAGGATGTCCTGTTCCGAAGTAGTTTTTACGGAAACGTTATCACCTTCATTTCCATAAGTGCTTGCCCCCTCTGAGAATAGCCCAGGAGTGTGGCCTACACCACACCAGTAGGGCCAAGCTGTTATGTTATCTATCCTGTCCAGTATCCACTCTATCCTCCCTGGGTGGACAGACACAGGATGCGTCCCAAATGGCCCTCTATTCCCTTTATAGTGCACTATTTTTGACCAGGGCCCATTGTGGTCTGGTCAAAAGTAGTGCATTATATAGGGTATGGGGGCGTTTGGGATGCAAACACAGCTCACAGCTCCCCAACGTCATGTGATCTAACTGGGGCCTGTGCTTACTGTACATAGCTCTGGGATGACCACTGAGAAAGTGAGTCCAGCTGGTTATTGTCCCACAGGTCAAGTGGAGTCCTCCTGGGGATGGGAAAGTATTTACAATAGGGCCTTCAAACAACCAAGCACTGTCCACTCAGATACGCTCCTATGAGCCAGCATAGGGAGCGAGCCCCTGAACACAGATAGGCTTGTTTGACCAGAATGCTGTGTGCTCCCAGCTAGTTCCTTCCTTCCTTCCTTCCTTCCTTCCTTCCTACCAGGATCATCTGATTTATTGTGTGTGATTTATAATGCTGTGAACAGCTGTGTAAATACACAGGCTCAATATCAAACAAATTCAAGAAGACAGCATATGATGCAAAATGTATCATACCGGCTGTATTTCTGTATTTTAAAAGTTATATATCTTGAAAACTTGATTGCTGACATGCAAAACATTTTGGGACTATATCAACAATGGACTAAACAAATACCAAAATATCATTTTTGGGTTGAGTTTTTCTTTAACAGGGCTTTAACAAGAGGCTCAGCAGAGCTGACAAAGCTATGAAATATACAACACATTTACATTTTTACATTTTAGTCATTTAGCAGATGCTCTTATCCAGAGCGACTTACAGTTAGTGAGTGCATACATTTTCATACTAGCCCCCCGTGGGAAACGAACCCACAACCCTGGCGTTGCAAGCGCCATGCTCTACCAACTGAGCTACAGGGGACATTTAATGAACATTGCCTGTAGTTAGTGGTTATGCATTAGCAATATTACATAGTAATAGGCTCTTGTTGCTGTTCCGCCCAATGAAGGGCCTCAAACCACAATAAAAACCAATCTGGACCAGACATACTGTAGCTCTGAGTCTGATCTGAATAATTTTTCATCATAATGAAAATTCCATCCAGTCAGTTGAATATCCTGCCTCCTCCTGTTTCACTCTGTGAAGTGGAGTTGCTGTCTGTCTGGGGGACTGTTTCCTCATAGTGTGGGGCTGTGCTCCTCTCTCTTTGTACCGGCTGAAACAGACATCCTGTTGACAGAGCTCTGCTGCCATAGGCCAGCTTAAGAAGCGCTAATGACAGGATAAGGCTTGGCAGAGCTGCAGATTGAGGAGTTCAGATACCAGCACTACCACACTGGTCCCTGGTACAGCATGCCAGCATGGGGTATGGAAAAATACCCGGTGAATTACAGTATTTCATATTGTATTTTGAAAATACAAAAAATAAGTAATCTTTCAAATCCATTTGAAATTATATTCATGGAAAGATTACGGCTTAAAAGAGAAATCCACTATTTTACAACTTGATGTTAGATGGTTCCTCACCCTGAAAATAGTATATGGGCCAGGAGAAACTGTAATCCATGGTTCAGTTTTCTTTAAATAGCCATTACAAACTTCAGCTAACTTTAACCACCGCTAGCAAAAAATCTATGGAATTGATGGGGGCATCAATTCCATAGATTTTTAGCTAGTGGTGGCTGACGTTAGCTAACGTTTGTAATGGCTATTTAAAGAAAACTGAACCATGGATTACAGTTTCTCCTGGCCCATAGACTATTTTCAGGGTGAGGAACTATCTAACATCAAGTTGTAAAATAGTGAACTTCTTTTTTAAATGCAAGGTCTTTCCAAAACACATCATAGGTCAAAAGAGCAACTGCTGCATTGAGGAAGAGGTGTTGCTGGATGCTTGATAAAAGGATGAATGATCAAAAGAGTTCAAGTTGAACATTAATTGATTCAATTAACCCTCACAGCTATCATCCAATCATTGCATCTGAAAGACTGATATCTTGAGAGTCTATCATCTTCTACCATGTGTTTTGCTTCTTAGAAAATGAATAAATTCAGCATAATTTTCAAATTTTAATAAAATGTATCTGTTTACCTGGGAATAATTGTAAGCAAATAATTTATATCGTGGGTAAGGGATTGAATGAATCTGTTATATCAAATTATATATTATTATATATTATTATACTGTACCCCAATCATCTGGAGTTACAGTAACTCAATTTATCATGTGACAAATGTACTACAAGAGATGTAGTTACCCTGCTCTGACAGATGAGGGTGTACTGTACATTGATCAGAGGAGATTCTCAAAGACTAGAATCACAATGTATTAGGGGTGTAACGATTCGTTTTAACAACGATTCGATTTGTATCACGATTCGTGGTTGTCGATACGATTCAAGGACGATATTGGTTCATTTAGAACGATACGATCCGAAACGATTCAGTGACTTGAAATCGATTCAGTAACCTTTTAGCCAAAAATTCAACCAGTGTGACTGAAATAAATGCCTGGATACTGGACAGTGCAGGTGAAGTTTCCTAGATTCCTGTTTCTTGTAAGGACCGCAATGGTGGCTTGATAATTTCTCGCTCGTCGGCTTCTCCTCTGTCATCCGCCATGCTATGCTTTGTTGTCTTGGCGCCTTTGCGCTGCTGCTGGCGCGATGACGTCACGGATAGGCAGACTGAATCGAGTAATGTTTAAAGCCTTTATCATTAAAAGTGCTAAGAAAAAACATCCATATAAAGTCTGACGTGCTTAAATCCAATGGGTTATTTCCTAGTATCGATACAATCGATTTATTACATTTTAAAACTATGTTAGATCGATATATGTTGTCCAAAAGGCCAACTCGCCGAGCACAGATCGATGTAGTTGGATCATAGGAATATAAATCGATACATCGATGTAGTAGATGGATCGTTACACCCCTAGTAAAAACACTCCAGTGCGCAAAACAGGGGCACTGGAAAATACAAGGCACACAGGGAATATTCCCAGCGATACAAAATACATGGAGCTCCACCGAGCTTCTCTCTCCTCCACAATAAACAATCGCACACAAAGACAAGGGGGCAGAGGGAACACTTATACAGGTACTAATGAGGGGATATGAACCAGGTGTGTGTAATAAACAAGACAAAACAAATGGAATGATGAGATGAGGAGCGGCAGTGGCTAGAAGGCCGGTGACGACAAACGCCGAAGCCTGCCCGAACAAGGAGAGGGGCAGCCTCGGAGGAAGTCGTGACAGATACTGTATATTTTTGAAAGAATAATATATTTCCCTTGACAGAGTAATGCTGAATGTAAAAAATGGCTCAACTTACCCCACTCTCCCCTACACATGATGTAACATTTGTTTACGATTGACAGATAATGTTTAAATGCAAAACACTTTATTTTGTGATGGGGCCCTCAGCTCAGTTTGGGAACCTTAATCCAGGCTGGACAGCAGGAACTCAACCTGTATTTCTAGATTCCTCATCACCTCCCCCGAGAGCCTCTCTGGGCTTTCATAGATTGACTCATTGAGGTTGAAGATGGATTCTAGCCATGCCTTCATCTGGCCCTGTTGACAACAGACACATCATCAACTATGAGAGAGAGAGAGAGAGAGAGAGAGAGAGAGAGGAGAGAGAGAGAGAGAGAGAGAGAGAGAGAGAGAGAGAAATGTACCTTAACGAGGAGGTAGAAGTTCTCAGCAGCCTCTGTCCAGGCTCCTCCAGGAGGGTCAATCCTCATTATGACTTGCAGGAGCAGATAAAGGAAGCTACCAGGCTTCTGGAGAAGGAACAGGGGACATGAGTGAGTGTCTACAGAGCTGATATGACAACAGTGTGTATAGCATAGATAAACAACAGGATGTTCCATTCTTAAGGCCACTTACAGATATAGGAAGAGATGTCTTTCCTTCTAGAAGGCCTAGTAGAACGAATTCATAAAAAACATCTGCGAAGTTGATGCGGTCGATCTGAAGTCAAACAAATAGGATAATTACATAATCTTCATTGACAAGCACTTTAGAAAGTCTCATTGAGTAGATGTTAGATGAGAAGACGGTGCCTGCAGCTAACGCTCAAGCTTGCATGTAGACCTACTCCTACGAGAGCCATCTCCTGCTCTAGTCGCTCCCTGTTTGCTGGCTCATTAATGAAGTTCACCAGTAGGTCGTAGGCCTGCTGAAACTGCCTCACATCCTCAAAACAAAACAATCATAAAATTCCTTAAAACTTAGATCATAAACTCAAAGATTCAGGTCTGTAATTCAAAGGGCCTCCGATTGTTTGGCTAGTATGACGTTGAAACTTTTCAACTAAACCCTATGAATCACTGTTGCCTAAAGGTAACCCACTGTGCAAGAACTGGTTGAATCAATGTTGTATCAATAAAAAATGTCAATGTGATGATGTTGAATCAAAGTGGGAAACTGATTGGATTTGAAAGAAGTCATCAACGTAAGGGAATTTCGTCTTTTAACCTAAATCCAACCTAAATCCAATTACGTTCCCTATTTGGCTGAAAAACAAAGACATCCCCTAATTATAGAGATTGCTCTGTGATTAATAAGACACACAATTGTGGAGATAGAGGACATGGTAATGTGTACTATTACTAATCAGCTATGACTGTCTAATAATGTGATTGACTACCTGTGAATGGCTATCTGAAGGTGCTGACAGTTCGTCAAGCACTAGCCTCCCAGCTTCAGTGAGGTGAATGGTAGGCTCCTCAATAACCAATTTGGAAGTCTGTGGAAAAAAAAGGGAACAGGGTAAAGTAAATTCTCCCTATAAGATCAGATGAGCTTTGGTTAATATTGTGTTTGGTTACCTGTGTGTTTAACACTGCAAGCTCTGTTACCAGCATTCTCCCAGCACGAGTGAGGTAGTAGACTGGTTTGGCCTTGGAGAAGACAGGCTATGAAGACAAGGGAATATGTTTTTTCATTATGTGGTTTTATAGAAAACTAGTGACTTGATGTTAATCTTTAATATCCTCTAAAGACCAGAGAGTATCAGAATGGATAGACTCACAAAGATAGGAACACACAAGGGTCCAGACCAAGGGATTAAAGCCAGACAGGACCGGTGCCCAACCTCCTCATCCACATACTAAGGAACAAGACAGGATTAAATTAAGAGTCAGTTTGAATGATAGACAGGTAGCCTATAGGACTGACAGACTGGAATAGGGAGGATCGCAAGAGGAGGCCACTGCATGATAGATTCTAAGACAATTGGCAGTTGAAATACACATGTCTGTGTTCAAAGGTTAAGGAAACATCTGAGGTACCTGCCTATGAATGGTTACCTGTTCATTTTGAGAGGACAGTTCCTCCCATACCATCCTCCTAGCAGGAGTGAAACTGATGATAATGGGCTGCTCCATTGTGAAAATCTGAGAAAATGAGGGAACAGCTTTAAAGATATCAAAGTATTCTACTAGTGGATACTGAAGGTAATTATCCCTATTAGATCAGATGAGTAATGGTTAATAATCTGAATGGTTACCTGTGTGTTTAACATTGCCATCTCTCTCACCAGCATCCTCCCAGCGTGGGTAAGATAATAAATTGGCTGCAGTTTGACAGGCTATAAAAAAAGGGAATATGTTTACAGAAATGTATTTCCAGAAGTTTCTTTTAGAAAAAGTTATGTTTATGTTTAAGCCCCCCTAAAGACCAGAGAGTATCAGAATGGATGGACTTACAGCGTTTGAAACCCACAGAGGTCCAGACCAAGGGATTAAAGCCAGACAGGGCTGCTGCCGAACCTCCTCATCCACGTACTAAGGAACAAGACAGGATCAATTTAAGAGTCAGTTTGAATGATAGACTGGTACTGTATAGGAGTAAAATATTGGCATAGGGAAGATTGCAAGAGGAGGCCACTGCAATGATAATAGTTGAAATACACAGGTCTGAGATATAAATGTTAAGAACATGTCTGAAGTACCTGCAGATGAATGGCTACCTCTTCAAGCTGAGAGGACAGTTCATCCAATACCATCATGCCAGCACGAGAGATGAAAATGTGCTGCTCAATCTTGCAAATCTGTAAGAAAATGAGGGAACTGTTTTAAGGGCATCAAAGTATCCCACTACCATAGTAGATACTGAAGGTAATCCTGCCAATTAGATAAAATGAGCTTTGTCCAATAATCTGCATGGTTACCTGTGTGTTTAACACTGCCAGCTCTCTCACCAGCATCCGTCCAGCATGGGTAAGGTAATAAGTTGGCTGCAGTGTTACAGACTATTACAAAAATAGGGAATATGTTTACAGAAATGTATTTTCATATTGTTCTACAGAAAGCATCATGTTTATGTTTAAGTTACATAAACCAGTCTAAAGACCAAAGAGTATCAGAATGGATGGACTTACAGAGCTGGGAACCCACAGAGGACCAGACCAAGGGATTAAAGCCAGACAGGTCCGCTGCCCAACCTCCTCATCCACATACTAAGGAACAAGACAGGATCAAATTAAAAGTCAGTTTGAATGATAGACAGGTAGCCTATAGGTCTGACAGACTGCTATAGGGAGGATCACAAGAGGAGGCTACTGCATGATAGATTCTGAGACACTACACAGGTCTGTGTTGAAAGGTTAAGGAAACATCTGAGGTACCTGCCTATGAATGGTTACCTGTTCATTTTGAGAGGACAGTTCCTCCCATACCATCCTCCTAGCAGGAGTGAAACAGATGAAAATGGGCTGCTCCATTGTGAAAATCTGAGAAAATTAGGGAACAGCTTTAAAGATATCAAAGTATTCTACTAGTGGATACTGAAGGTAATTATCCCTATTAGATCAGATGAGTAATGGTTAATAATCTGAATAGTTACCTGTGTGTTTAACATTGCCATCTCTCTCACCAGCATCCTCCCAGCGTGGGTAAGATAATAAATTGGCTGCAGTTTGACAGGCTATAAAAAAAGGGAATATGTTTACAGAAATGTATTTCCAGAAGTTTCTTTTAGAAAAAGTTATGTTTATGTTTAAGCCCCCCTAAAGACCAGAGAGTATCAGAATGGATGGACTTACAGCGTTTGAAACCCACAGAGGTCCAGACCAAGGGATTAAAGCCAGACAGGGCTGCTGCCGAACCTCCTCATCCACATACTAAGGAACAAGACAGGATCAAATTAAAAGTAAGTTTGAATGATAGACAGGTAGCCTATAGGTCTGACAGACTGCTATAGGGAGGATCACAAGAGGAGGCTACTGCATGATAGATTCTGAGACACTACACAGGTCTGTGTTGAAAGGTTAAGGAAACATCTGAGGTACCTGCATATGAATGGCTACCTGTTCATTTTGAGAGGACAGTTCATTCCATACCATCCTCCTAGCAGGAGTGAAACAGATGAAAATGGGCTGCTCCACTGTGAATATCTGTGAGAAAATGAGGGAACGAACATCAAAGTATTTCACTACCGTAGTGGATACTGAAGGTAATCCTGCCTATTAGATCAGATGAGCTTTGTCCAATAATCTGCATGGTTACCTGCGTGTTTAACACTGCCAGCTCTCTCACCAGCATCCTCCCAGCATGGGTAAGGTAATATGTTGGCTGCAGTTATAAAAAATAGGGAATATGTTTACAGAAATGTATTTCCATATTGTTCTTCAGAAAACGTCATGTTTATGTTTAAAGTACATAAACCAGTTTTAAGACCAGAGAGAAGACCAAAGAGTATCAGAATGGATGGACTTACAGAGCTGGGAACCCACAGAGGTCCAGACCAAGGGATTAAAGCCAGACAGGGCCGGTGCCCAACCTCCTCAACCACATACTAAGGAAGAAAATCAGGATCAATTTATGAGTCAGTAAAATGACAGTTTGAATGACAGATTGTTATTGAACCAATCCTGCTAATGAAGCAGTATTGTTATAGCCTGTGTGCCAGTCTGTTTCAGCTCTCTGTCCACTCCTTATGGGATTGTGATGCCAATATCATATTGCCACGATGGAATTGGCAAGAGAGCAGAAAGACTGGCACCCAAGCTATTGATAGGCCTGCAGCATTCTTACCTGAACAAGGACTGGGTCCTCCTGGTCCAGGGTGGGCTCATTATCTTCATGAAAAACAATAAAGGATTGTTTTCTCTAAGTTTAAGAAATACTAGCTACAAGACACCAGACATCTGTCCATGTAGTTAGGCTGATCATATATTTACTTGTGTTTTATATTGTATGACATCAAATGTATTTATGTGTCTGCATAATGTACCAACATGTTCAATTAAACCTAAAGCAACGGTTTGGTTTCAAAGGAGCAAGTTTGTTTGTTGTTGTTAATCTAGGGCTACACTGTAAAAAATGTAATCACCATGATTGCTACCTAAATGACACCCTATTCCCTATTTAGTGCACTACTTTTGACCAGCGCCTTTTAACCATAGAACTATGGGTCCTGGTCAAAATAAGAAATAGGGTATTGGGTGGCATTTGGGACTATTACTATGTAGACATTGTCAAATATGTAAACTTACCCTCCTCAACCGTGACAACACGGTCCACGCTCTCCACGGTGGCCAGTGCATCCTCACCGATACCGTAATATTTGCTATAAAAGTAGACTGCCGAACCGGTCGCAAACAACAGGCCAGCTGCACACAGAAGCGACCTCTCGCGGAGGAATCTCAGCGGGGTCGCTGTCAACAAACGACTGAACATAGACCTACTCATTATCGCTCTACATACTGCAGTGATTTTGACTGAGTTCAAAACCATCTGACAATTCTTTATTAGAATTACAGGGTTTTATAGGGACCATTAATACGTCAAAGTCTTCCATAAGTCATGGTTGGCTATGTCACAATGGGATAAACATGTTTATCAAACTGATTAAAAAACACTCAACAGTGACATCAATTAAATTGAATTTTGAGCATGATTTGGGAGTTTATACAATTGTAAACTATGAAACCATTGTTTAGAGAACAGTAGGAGTATAACCATTTAGAAAATACTGTATCTATGGCTCTGAGTAGGAGTAGAAGGGACCGCGTCACAATGCGCTCGCCATGGTTCTGAAAAAGAACGTTGCTGCGTTCATCAGCTCTGTGATGTTCTAGGCGGAGACACTCACTGAACCACTCACTTTCACGTTCAAGGTGTCAAAGCGTTCAACCAACATGCATTGGACTAAAACATCATTCAAATAGTTACTAAAAAGCCTACAGATATGTTTTACATTATTATTTTAAATCTCCTGCATAAATCAGCTGAGATAGCCTACTCTTCTCATCTCTTCGCCCTCCTGCCCTGGTGGTTATATCAGAGCGTTTTGATAACTGATTGATAATTTGGATTATTCATATCCAAAGTGAAATGCTGATTGTGTCATATTTATAATGTAGGCCTAGTAGCCCACGTTTCATGACATAACCCTAATCCTAAAATTGAAACCCTGGGCGAGCACACAAGCTCTGGCTGTACAGCCGGCAACAATAATACATCCAAAGCGGGTGGCTGTTGAGGAAAACCAGTACACCAACACAAATCTTCATTAGGAGATAAAAGTAATCAGAGGCTAAAAGAAAATGGCAGACAATAGAAATCGAATGCGTATGTTACGGCTGGTTAGTGTTTTAATTACGAAGGACTCCCACAAATCTATTGTCTCTCTAAAAAACTGTAGGCTGCATATTGGTGGTCAAAGTGGTCGAAACGGTGTAGTGATCCTCGCTAATACAGTGAGCCACATTACAATTCTGACCAAGTGGGTTAAATCTGTTGGAGCGATGCGTAGGGTGTGTGCCTTTCACGCATGTAACCTGGGTTCGCTTCCCCGCCCCTTGTTTGCTACAATATTTTAGGAAAGGGACATCTTCATGACCAACAATCTTACTCTAAAAACGTTTGTGAAAAAAGTTTGGTCAGTCTGTGAAAGTTAGAAAAGGTTGGTTAGTCTGTGAAAGTTAGAAACTTCCAGCAGGAATTGACAGTCATCAGTCAAGGTGGTTGGATTATATAGCTACAGTGGTGCTATGGTTCCAAAAGTGCTGGTGATAAAATTAACATTACTGGCATACACATTTCAAAACAAAAGCCTATGATCAGGTATGGAGTTTTGGAAATGTTGTTAAACCCAACAGTCTATACTCTATAGCACAAAGTGTGATGTCCCCAATGATAAAATTGCATGTTACTCTAATTGTGAGATGTGTTACAGTTTACAATAGGCTACTTGGGTCTACTATACCTTCATCCTTTATTAAAGCATTCGGTTGCTAGCATTATCTCCACAAGCAAGGGTATCCTGGGGAAAGACAAATCTTCTCCTCCCAGTAGACTAACTGAATCAAAGCCAGTAGCCTTTAACATTACTGCTAGATAGCCATGTAAACACGAACCTCAGTGGCAGAGCTAAAGCTCCTCTGAGATCTTGCATAGGCTGCTGTTTACCATAATCAGGATATTTTTTTACAAACCTTGGCGATACTTTCTTTGTTCTCGATTCGGAAGAAACTTGTCTCTTATGAACATCTGTGTGCAGTTGCAGGTGGAACTCCAAAAAACAGAGAATATTCAGAAAAATATTAAATCCACTTTTTGTATTGAGCGATAAATACCGCTTTCATATGTGTAGATCTTTCTTTTGGTCGCACTGTGGGAAGTGTTGTCATTAAGGCTACTTCTACAAGCGGCCGCAGCCGCTTCGCATAGAAACGACTAGTTACTGCAACGGTGTTGGGAAATGTGAGATGTGCACAGCTAAAATGCCGAGGACTGTGCAAAAGGTGGATTTAATATATTTTTTGTCGAATTTTCTCTAGTTTTTGGAGTATGCTACCTGTAACTGCACACATACGTTTATAAGAGACACATTTCTTCCTAGGTTAGGGGTCTATAATTGTAAAATAAATGTGTTTGATTGAATAACTAGCCTAATCTAACTATCGTGGTCATACATCTGGACTCTTCATCATCATCATCAACACTTTGAATTACTAAGGAATATTCCTATAGCAACTGGTTGCTAGGGGAAACGAGACACTAGCATTATCCTCTTGTGGATAAGAGCGTCTGCTAAATGACTAAAATGTAAATGTAAAATGTTGTGAGACTGAGAGGGAGGATTGGAGAAGTGCACGAGGAGGGGTGGGAAGCAGAGAAGACGGAGCATGGTTGAAATTCCACCAAATGGATAAGAAGAGGCAGACAAAGTTTGACACATTTATGTTTTCAGTGGTTGACCGACACGAATGAACGAGTAAACCTTGTTTTAGCCTAGTGAAGTATCACAAATTAATACCTCAGTATTAATTATCCACTGCACGGAATCTCCATGAGGGCACAAGTCTGCATGACGATTTTCGCGTAAAGAGAGGCAGCGCGGGAGAGCTGACTTGTCGCCTGGCAGGTATGTTCTGCTATTTTGAATAAAGCTAGCCATACAGCTAATATAAGTTTTAGGCTATTATTAATTTCGTATAGCTAACTAAATAAATGAAGCTATCTAACAGCAATGCTGTTGTGGGCTTACACATGTAATAATTAAAACCAGGAGCCTATAATGGAGGAAGTCAGCTTTTCAGTCAGTCCTATCATTTATATTGAAAATAGGTTATTATAACACAAGGTAAACACACATTTACAATAATTGTTAGGTCTATGTTATTAGCCAAAAATTGACTGATACAAGTACAGAAACATTCATAGCCAGAGGCAACCTAGGCTACACTGCAATTAACACTATACTTATTATACACGC